GGTGAAAAAAATCCACGCTGGATCAAGACCTCATGAAGAACTAGTCAAACCTTGACCCAAAAAAAAAAAAGAATGAATGAAAAATCAAAGGACCAAAGCTTGTGAAAAACTAGTTAAACCCTTGACCCAAAAACAGTCGCAGATCTTCAAGGTTTGAGACCCAAGCCTCAAGAGAGATCGAATTCACCACCAACCACGGTGAAAATAATGAAATGATCAAGCTGAATTTTTGTTGGAGTTGCAAAGAGAAGCACTAGAGTTACATGTTTTTGGGATATCACATGAAACAAACAAGGAGACAATTAAACGATCCATGCAATATTTTTGGTATTGAGGGCTCTTTGGTAGAACAAAGAAGAACATTTTTTAAGTAACCAAGAAAACAGTGGTAAGATAGGAGTAACTGCCGATGAGCCATCAGTTTTAAAAAGTTTTGTACTGCCACTGTGATCTAGAAAATTTGGAAAGCCATCAATAGTTTTAAAAGAACTAAAAAGAACTAATAGAACCAAGACCAGTTCTCAATAACTTGTTAAATACATTTTTCAGAAGGTAAATATAGTGGTAGATGAGTTGGCTAACTGGGAATCGGAGCATCTAGGAATAAGTCACAGCTATATGAAACCATAGTTCGTAGTCCTTTTTTCTCCATGAAGAAACATTCCTTATAGTCAAGTATCTTTATTAACAAAAAATAATAAAATAATAAAAAAAATAAAAAACCACTAAATGGCAGAGGCTTGTCAATTATAAAAGGTACAATCCCTAAAAGTTCACAGATATGTTGTTAGTCTAGAAACATAACAAATACTACTCTGAAATTGATAGACACCACCCTTACGTTTCCAAACCAACCCAATTCTGAATGACAATTACATCTGACTTGGATAAAAAACAAGGAAGAATAAAGGTTCTATTTCCCATCTCAAAAAATAACATATCCTCTTAATACCAGTGAGCCCTTATTTGCAAAAGTTCACATGTTGATGCTCCATTTCTCATTCCATGCCAGAAAAGAATTATAAAAAGAGAATACATCCTAAGGTAAATATGCATTACTGAGAAAAGCTTCATGCATCTCCTAGTTTTATGTTTCATCTTCTTCCAAAAGACTTGACTATTTTCACTTTAGACTTCCTTATTTAAGATGATAAGCCTTCTAACACATATTGACGTCCAGCAGCAAGCCACACTCATGACAATGCATATAACCCTACACATCCCATGGCAACAAATGTTCATAACTTCACATGGTTTGGTCCAGCAATACCATGGTTAGTGCCAGCATATCAAAAAACGCTAAGCGGGTTCTAGGCGGCCTGGGGGGTCCAGGTCGCGCAGTGCCTAGGCGGCCAGTTGAAAAAAAATACCAAATTACCAAATACCATATTCCAAGTTGAAACAAAAAAAGATACATGCCGAGAAGAGAATTTTGATAATCCTTATTGTTAAAACAGTAAACTGTAAAACCATACAAGTGTAGGATATAAAAGTCAACACTCAATACAACAGAAATATACAGAAATTTAGAAAATATACAGTCTAATCATATGCATTAGAGTCGAGGCCATCATCATCAGAGTCATCTTCCTCTTCAACGCTCGTCTTCCTCTGTTTCTTCTGAATCTGCCTTTTCTTCCTCATCTTCTTCTACCTTCCTCTTACTAGTATATGCAGTCTGTGCAGATGAGGCCTTAGGAGTCTTGGCTGCTCTACCCTTTTCTTTGTACTTCTCTGAACTCAAATATTGTATAATTTCCTCTCTGGTGGCCTTAGGAACATTTTTACCCCCTTAATACCGACAATGTGTTTTTTAAACAGGTAAATGCCCCCATTAGTATCCTTTCCACAATAATTATATTTAATACGATTTTTATCACTTGGATTCGAGTTATAACCATACTTTCCCGGATCACCACTCCGACTAGAACCTAGAGAAGATACTTCAATAGAACAAGGCTTATTTTCAACCTTTTCTAGTCTTCTAAATTCAGAAGATATCTAATCTCATCTCGAACTGCTTCAAGAACCTTTGTACAAGAAGCAACATTACCTCTAACACCAACAAGGTGTTTTTTGAATCGGCTAATACCCCTATTGGTATCTTTTTCACAAAAATTACACCTTATACAATTTTTATCATTTGGTTTTGGGTTGTACCCATACTTCCAACCCGGATCACTTCTTCTAGAAGTAGCAAAAATAAATCGATGATAAAGATTTTGTTCCTGTTTTTGTTTTCCATTACTCATATATTGCTTAATCTCCTCTCTGATAGCTTCAGAAACATTTTTACAAGGGCTAGCAACCCCCTTAATATTGACAAAATGTTCCTTAAACCGGTTTATGCTTCCTTTTGTATCTTTTTCACAAAAATTGCATCTAACGCAATTTTTGTCTTTTGGATTCGGATTGTATCCATATTTCCAACCCGGATCTCTACTCCGGCTAACTCTTGAAGAAGACATCTCAAAATAAAACAATCAATCTAAAAAATAAAATTTTGTACTTACTTTGATTGCTCGAACTCTAAACTTTGAGACACTTCGATCCAATGAAATGTAGTTTTTTGGAGGTTTTTTTCTCTCTAAAAGGGGTTCTTGTGGGTTAGGTTTCAAATGAACCTAAATCCGCTCCTTCTAACCTTTTGTATCTTTTAAAAAAAACATGTCCACCTCTAGGCGGGGGGCAAGCCCTCAGTGGCCACCTAGGGCTGGGCGCTAGGCGGGTTCCATTAAAATATAGGAAATGAACATAAATCCAATATTCCAAGTGTATAAGAAGCACAAAACAAAATGAGATACATTTAGTTAGAATATAATGGTTTCTCTCAGCTTCCATATTCAACTCATCTTGGAACAATAGAAACTATAATATTCATCTTGAAAAGTTTAGGCAGTATTCTATGATACAACTTGTATCCATTCAAAGCACAAAGAACTCATCAAAAGACAACATACCTGATTGTCTCTGTGAAATGATGGAATATCATTTAGAAAGAATTTCTTTTGCAATGAGCTCCAACGGCTAAGGCATGGCTCCCTTTTAAGATGTGGGTTCATGAAGTATTGCAATCATCCATAATCCATTAGCTATGGTCCCTTACCTTTCATAGCCATATGTTGAAAGGCTTCACGATCAAGTTAAGAGGATTGTCGAGTTTTATACTATAACCAGGTAAGTAATGGCATAATGCTTTTTCCATGGGCTGCATTGGTCCACCTTCAAATAGGCATAGATCATAGTTCACGTGAAATGATCCAGAATTTTAAGTTCTCTGTAGGAATGAGTTGGTTCATTTCATGGCTGGTTTTTCCTCCTTTTTTTTTAATTTTTTTTATAGATTCATTTATTTGTTGCATTATTTTGTCAAGATAGTTCATTTAGGAACCCTGTTCTTTTGGGCAATTGGCTGGAATATATAAGAAAAAGGATATGTGTTTTGGGAGTCAATCTTCGTCCAGCTGCTAGTTGTACCTATTTGCTTTAAGAGAAAATTAGTGACCATCAAATAAGAATCATGACCAGTTTTTGGAAGAAGCTTCTTCAAAGTGTTACTTTCTTCATTGTTCTGATGTAGATGCAGGATTTTTATACAATATGGGGATATCCAAAGAAGATTTCTATGCAATTACATGGTTCACCAGCTAGGCAGTAGATGCAGACCACCAATTTGATATCTCAGAAGCAATTGATCAGAGATTACTTGTAAAAGCATGGTAATTTATTACTCTTTCTTCGTGAAAATAAGTTTGAATTTCCAATTTGCTGCTTTATATTATCGAAAAACTCTTGGTTCGCACTTGTAGTTTTAGAAAATGACTAGGTGCCCTGCTTTCTTAGGATGGTTTGGAAACAGCTAAATATCTTGTGAGAGCATAGTTCCTGCCAATGTTTTAAAATGCGGGATGCGACCCTGATGCGGTGGGGGGCCGATGCGGCGATGGGGCTCGATGCGGCCTGGATGCAGGCGCATCGCGATGATGCGGTCAATAAATGGAAAAAAATTCCAAAAAATCTAAAAAAAATAAGTTAATGCATAGAAAAACATATGAAGGTGATATATGTGATAGTAGGTATTTTAGTTTAATGATTAACTTCAAAACTATTAGATGTCGGAGATTCTGTATCCAGTTATCCACTATCCCCTGATAAAAACTAGAAACTTGAAACCAGCTTCATAAAGCATTCAACAATCAACAACCATCAACCATCAACACAAATTTGCATCACAAGCACAACTATAATTAAACACAACCATCAACAACCATAAGTACAACCATAAGCACAAAATAATGATATTACAAAATACAAATCAAAAGTCAAGCTCATGAAGAGTTAATAGTTAATAAATAATAACTTAATACAATCATCCATTTTGAGAGTCAATTTTGAAATTTGAACTTCATTTTTTCAAATATCATTCTGACAAGTCATCTTGAAAGTCGTCATGCGCATCATCAATATCATCCTCGACAGCCTTCATGTATTCTTCTTCATCGGTCTCCTCTGAGTCAGCTTCCTCCTCGACCTCTGAAGCTAATGTGCGAGTGCGACTACACCCAGCAGCTCCTCTACTGCTTTCTTCATTAGCCCCTGTTGCTAGCTCGACATCAAGCCATGTAAGATCCTCACCCTCAAATACACGCTCTTGTCTTGAATCCATGGTCCACTCACTTATAGAATCACCATCAGCTTCATATAATTGAATAGGGTTGAGCTTCGTACGATTTTCAAACCTCTCCCTAAGCCGCTCGTTATACCGCACATAAACCAAATCATTCAACTTTTTCTGCTCCAACCTATTTCTTTTTTTTGTATGGAGCTGTCGTAGAAATTTGAAATAAGATAAATTAGATTTTAGATTAGAAAATTGAAATTCAATAAATAAGGATTAAGGAATAAGGAGTAAAGGACTTACATGCTCAAATGCACTCCAATTGGGCTCACAACCAGATGAGCTACATGTGAGATTCAACACTCGAATAGCGAGACGTTGTAGATTTGGTGTGTCGCTTCCATATAATGCCCACGATGCAGCTGTATAATATTTTATAATTTAGAATATAGTTAAAAATTAAGGGTATAAAATAAATAATGGAACTATACATAAAGTAAGAGACAAGTAAGATTATTTTTGGGCTTTTGGCCTTTACCTGGATCTGTAGTGTCCCTATTTCGAGTGGCAATATCTCTCCCAAAGTTTCCCAAGGCTAACTTGAACTTAATCAATTCATGGCTCTGGATCTCATCCTGGATATCTTTGTCTGGCACCAACCTCTCCAGCACATCTAAGAACCCACCATTTATTACATGATATGACTCAATGGATGGGTGCTTGTAGTGAAGAGATGGGTTTAGAAAATAACCGGCTGAATGGAGGTGCCTGTGAAGCTGTGTATCCCATCTCCTATCAATAATTTCAAGTATAGCCTTGCGCATATTTTCATCATCCTTTAAAACATCTTTTATTTCAGTTCTTGCCCTAATCATTGCCTCATGTATGTAGCCCATGGCGGGCTTCGCATCACCATCAACCAGTTGAAGCACTCTCACTAAAAGGCGAGCCACCTCCAATGCAATAATTATTTGACTCCAAAAAGATGTATTCAGAATAACTTTTTCAGCCTTTCTCCCATCCTTATGCTTTGACCATTTGCTTTGACTCCATTGCTCTGAAGCAAATATGGTCCTCAAGGCACTTTTTTGCTTGGCTAGGCTTCGAAGAGTGAGAAATGACGCGGCAAATCTAGTCATACCCGGTCTCACTAATTCTCTCTTCTTTGTAAAAGACCTCATCATGCTTAGGACTATGGTGTGATTGTAAATAAATCCAACAACAAACATTGCTCTTGAAATCACCCCACTAAATAAAAATGTTATACCTATTTCCTTAAGCATAAGATTAACACAGTGAGCTGCACAAAGAATCCAAAACATATGCTTCCTTTTCAAAGTCAAGAAATGCCCAGCTGCAGCATAGTTGGCACCATTGGCAGTAATAATTTGTACCACATTTTGCTCCCCAACAAAATCGACAATCTCATCCATCAAGCCAAATAAGTATGTACCATCATGTGACTTGTCTGATACATCAATAGACTTAAAAAAAGAGTACCTATTGGGCAGTTAACCAAAAAATTAATGAATGCCCTTGATTTTCCATCTAACTAACCATCACACATAATAGTGGCCCCATATTTCTCCCACCCTTTTCTCTGAGAAATCAAAATTTTATTCACATCAAATACAACATCCTTCAACAAGAGCTCCCTAACCTCATGTGGTGAAGGAGGAATAAGTCCTGGGCTATATTGCTCAATTGCCTAGACCATACATGCAAAACTATCCAAAATTATAGTATTAAAAGGAATGTCGACCATGTAAATCCACTTTGCAATCCACTTACATACTGACTTCCTTTGTTCTTTCTTATATTTATTGTCAATTGTGGTTTGTTTTATTTTATTTTCTCTCTTGAACCATAATTTCGGGGCTAGGGGTGAAAAAAGAATCCATTGGCCCCTTAGAGAGAGGTGTTCTTCTCTCAACATTACCACCAATATTTACAACCCTCTCTCTTGAGGTTGGAGTATGAGTACCCCTTTGCCTTATAGCAACTTCAGACGTATCATCATCATCATCATCATCAACATCATCAAATAATTGCATATCATCAAGTAATTCCTTTCTTTTTTTTTTTTTTCTCTTTATCTTTTTTCAATCTATCCAAATATTCTCTAATCTCCTTTTTTATATCATCTGTAGCTTGTGGGCATGCTCTTACATTCCCAGAAATTCCGGCTAAATGGTCTTTTTATCGAAAAATATCACCCATATAAGTATTTCCACAGAGCAAGCATATCACACAATTTCTATCTTTCGGATTTTTTAGTTTAGCATATTTCTAAGCCGGATCCTTGTTACTAGAAGATTGGGAAGAAGACATTGCCCCAAAAATAAGTATAACAGTATTATCGTACAAGAAGGAATAAAAAATTACCGACTCTGTGAAGTAGTGCTCGATTTCTTCACGGCCTCTGAAAGCCCAAATTTCTTATCACAAATTCACCTTAACATCTCCAAATCAACAATCAAAGGCATCGAATGAACATCTGAGTATCAAACAACCGCCAAATCTAAGATTTGGATGAAAAAAAAAGTTTCGCCAAACTTTTTTTTTCCTTCGATTTGATGCAAAAAAAGCCACAAAAGTGGATGGAAATCTTCGTTTAGGGGGTATAATAACCCCCCAAACAGTTTCCCTAAACTTTGGAACTACACAAAAACCATTTTGCCCTTCCCCGAGGGGCAAAATTGAAAAACATTTCTGCAGTAACAGATGCGGCGCGATGCGGTCTGATGCGGTGCGATGCGGGATGCAGCCATGATGCGGCCGCATTTGTCAAAAGCGCATATGCGCCAGTTCGCGATGCGGATGCAAGCGCATCCCGCATGATGCGGCCACATATGCGGCGATGCAGCCGCATTTTAAAACACTGGTTCCTGCTTTGAAAATTAGTTGTTGCATTTTTTTTGAAATACAATAGTCACAATTTCCTGTTAGAGTAGGATACCTAATACTAGCACTGCTACACTCCTAGATTTTCAATCTTGTTTTGTATAATTCAAATAATGGCACTTGGCTAACATGTTAACTGTGGATTCTGAAGAACATCATTGCAAGAGTGTTGCTTCTCTATGTTTCATGAAGCGCCTATAGTTCTTATTTTAAGCAATGAGATCTTCACAAAACCATTTGTAAGATGCCCAATAGTCTATACTTTCTTCCAAATAAATTACTTTCCTGCAACAAATATGTCTGTTTCTTGTAAAAAAATCAAGGTTCTCTTTCATTTGTTTTAAGAAATAAGAAAGCTCCATAATCTATGTTACAAGAATATGGGTACGAGTGTCAGTGCCATACACCAATATACATGTCAGAAACGCAACTTAGCCCGTTCTAGATACAACACATTCATATATATATTGGAGGGGTCGGGAGGCGGAATTTTAAGCGATTAAAGTATCTTAGTTTCTATAGTGTTAGACATGTGTGTCACATTCTTAGTGTCTATACAAGCCCAAAACCTTGGACGTTCATTCAAGTCTTGTAGCCCATCATTTATTTAGAATGTTGGTGTTTACATTATTCTTGATAATGATTTATATATCTCTTCTCCTGTTCTTTGTTTAATTTGGCAGTGATGATGGCGGCAGCAAGGAGTTGAAAGATTGTGACAAATATGAAACCTGTAGAGAGAGAGCAAAGTTAGGGTTCATGTGTAAAGATATCATGGATATTGGGAGGCTTATGTGGAGTAAAATATGCCCCTTATAAATATTGCCTGAGAATCACTTGTTGCAAAGCCTACTAAACAGTCTACCCATTCGGACCTTCCTTAAATGTTTATTTAGCTTTAGTTGCATTTATAGTTAGTTAACAATTAAATTTTCCATGGAAGATATTTTTTATTCGAATTATATCCACCTTTTAGGTTCCCATGCAAGGGTGTCCTCTCTGTCTCTCTCTCTGTCACACACACAAAAACAGATTTGGCTTAGCAAAGTGGTTAGTTATTTGTGGGTACCAATGCGATATCCTAAGTCCTAGTTTCATTTATCTTTTATCTTATATCAAATATCCCAGGTTTCAATCATTTCTATTCACATTTTTGCCCCCATTATTACAAATCCCATCCTTTCAAAGCATTGTTTTTATATTTTTATACATTTGGAATACTTTAAAAAAAAAACAAACGTAGACTGTCCAACATTTTAGGAACAGATCTGAAGCGGACACTTGTTACAGTGTGGGTAGCCATGTTTTTCTTATTATTCTTTCCTACATAATTTGGAATAGAAGCTGTCATGGAAATGTTGGAATTCTATTGAGAGCGTACAAAAACAATTTTAAGCACCCTCTCCAAAACCCGATGTTAAATTACCAAATCAATAGAAGGATTCAAAAACAAATCTAAAGACCACCTCAAATTCCGAAATGATAAAGCAACAAAAAAAATAGAAGTGCTATATTTTAAAAAAAAAAAATGTAGAGCAAACAATAGAGCAAATAAGATTGTAAACAATGTCCAAGTCTAGCTTCATTACAGTTAATTGCTTACACAAAACAATAGAGCGAACAAGATTGTAAACAATGTATATTTTCTTATCAGTAAGTTATAACACCATCCTAGAGGCCGAAGAAAAAACTAGAATCATAAAACACAAAAACCATTATTGAAAAACAAGCTCCAAGTATACATTGATACAAATTGGTGAATATTTGTTACCAACATATATGCTTGTTGACAACAGCTAGATATAATGATTGACCAACTCATTTGGTTCTATCAAAATATGTATATGAGGATATTGATAAATAACAGAAAAATTAATAATTGGACTGGTTTTTGTCATTCATTTTTTATCAAATGATTAATAAGGCCATTGCAAGCGTTTCAAAAGCTCCCCAACCACAACCTAACCTTTCCTCCCACCCAACCTGCAGCATTCCCTAACCTTACCATCCACAACCTAGCCTTTTGGTTCGCTACCCTTACAGCGTCATTGTCCATTCCTCCTCCACCACCAAAAAGAAAAAAGCATCTTTCTATTCCCACAAACCGTCTGTCCATGCATTTTAGACCTCACCAAATGAATGTCAAATCATGGTGATCCAAGCAAGCAATACCTCGCTCCATGACCAGGCTTGAAATTTCTCACGCAACCATGCAATCAACATCACTATCACTACCTACCCTCCTCTTTATCTTGACTACAGCCCCTTCCTCACATTCCCTAGTTCAGAAGACATTTTGTTCCCCATGTAAATTAGAGTTCGCGAGAGAAATATGATTAACATGCTATAAAGCAATATTATGGAATGTGCATTACCAAGGTTTAATTAACTTGAAATCAATCTGGTCATGTATGTCACAATCAGTATTGAGATTGCCCATTAGAAATATTAAGTCACATCATAGAACAGAAAAAGTGACATAACTGACCTGAAATGGTTTGATAGTAGCTTGAAGAATAGTGGTTTAGGGTCTTCCACTACATAGTTGCACCTCTCCCGAAAATATTGCTGGTTTGAATATCAAATGTCAATTCAGGTACAAGTTCAGTAAAATTGAGCTCCAAACATAAATGAATTTCACAAATAATGCAAGAGATAACTAAATTTGAATAGAAAGTACAATCCCTACAAAAGGGCATCTAAGACAAAAATGAGACACGATATTTTCTCCAGTTCAATAATTACCTCTAGAATGAGAATTCAGGCACTCGTGCAACTTTTAGAGTCCAGCTAGATGGCAATCCCACAAAAAATTTCACCAACTTTGTCAATGTGATTACTACAATAAAAAGTTCGTAAGTCTTAACAGTTACCCATAAGTATTAGAAAATCAATCCTAGTAGCTTTTAGTTTAAAAGTCATACACATCACTCTTCAAAAGAGATAAGAAAAACCATTTTCAACACCCAAAATGTCAAGGTTTTAGTTGAAATAAAGAAAATATGCCAGAACCTTCACAATCAAATATATCTAAAGAACGGGCATGTGTTTAAACCAAGACATAAGTACATTATTGCCTAAACCAGTTGCTAAACTTGAGGCTCTCAAGGGTTTTACATTCATTTCCTTAGAAACCATGGAAAAAAATAAAATTCCCATCCTTTATGATCCACATTTTCCTATCTACTTAGTCACAAACAAAAGAAAGAATAACTGATCATCAACCAGAAAAACTGAAAAGGCAATAAATCTAAGCCAATTTTAAAAACAAGTACTATGTACTAAGCCTCTTTAATTTGTGAATTCGTCTGTTGCAAGGCCTTTTGCAGTTTGACGAGTGTTACTATTAGAGGAGTTTTGATAAAAAATAAATAGATAATACATTTTTCTTAGATACTAATTAACTTGGAAATGCGTGTGTATTCTGATTCAAATTAAATCTCCCAAAAGATGACCAATGTAAACTAAAATTTCTTATTTACCGCACTCGACTTTAGTTCCTAACCAACAAATGTATTGCACCCATCACTTCTCCCTTTCCCTAAAATCTCTCCATTTTACATCCCAAGGGCTCGTCCTTTGAATTTGTCTCTTTCCTCCCTCTCCCTCTCTCTCTCTCTCTCGCTCTCATCTCTAAATATAATTAAAGTCCTTTAGAAATCGGCTTCAACCTAAGTCTCACCTACTCTCTTCTATATTCTATCTCTTAGACATTGATTCTATCTCCCCTTTCCTAAACCTCACTCCAAAAGAAGAACCTCTCATCTCACAAGTTTATCTATGCTATTACCAAGATTCTCTCTCTAA